GATTCCTTTGGCTAGATAAAAGGGATAAGGACCATGAAGGAAACACAGCCAATATTCTTGCTTAACTTCCACATCAAATTTTCAATAAACAACTTTCGGCATATTTACACTTGTTGGAAAACATTCGCATATGTAACCACAATCTAAATAAATAAATCAAGGCTACTAATAATAACAGTAATGAATAATATGAAAAAGGAATAATAAATGAATAATGAATAATAAGTAATGAATAATGAATAAATAATCACACAAATGAAAAATTATAAGAATTTGTAAAAAAAAACAAAAGATATCCCAGTAACAACATTAATGCCAAAAAATTATACGTCATTAGGAATGAAGATACCTATAATTATAAAAACGAAATCAAAATATTAGTAATAACAATACCAGTGATATTACTACTATCAATAATAATAGTGTCTAATAACGAACGATATATAATAATCGAAAAATGACAGTATTCATAACTGTAGTGGTAATAATAAATAATAATTGTTAATTGAAAAAAAAACTATCAAGAATAATAATGATAGACGTTCATAATCATCTTCTTCTTTTCCCAAACATTAAACCTGCGCAAAGGTACCGACGCTAATAATAGCAAGTATTCACAACTGTCACGAGAATGTTGAGGTGTCGTCAAAACTTCCGTCTTAGACGGGATTCGAACCTGGATCTGTTGCTTTCCTAGCAATTGTGCTACTACAGTTACACCACCAAGGCACCATTTCAGCCCCACTCAGCTTTTATGGTGAATTTACCATAGCTTCCATCGAAGCTGAGTTGGGGTGAAATGGTGGTGTAACTGGTAGCACAATTGCCCGGAAAGCAAGAGATCCGGGTACGAATCCCGGCTGGGGCGAAAGTTTTGCCCACAACTCAGCATTCTTGTGATAACTTTCGCAACGCGAACTGCGGCGTAAAACAGCAGTTTCCAACAAAACAATTAATCACAATAATAGTCAATTAATAGTAAATATTTAAGAATAATAATAAGTAATTTCCAATTTTTTTAATTTCCAAAGAACAACAAATAATAAATATTACAAGAAATAAAAAATGTTAGTCAAAAAAGTACATTTTAAGTGTCTCTGTTTTCCATCGCCTCCATTTTTACAACGATAAATGGTATAAAGCTCAGTAGACTCAAGGGTTAACGGGCATTTTCATAATTCGAAGGAAAATGGAATTGGACATATTAAAAAAAAAGGTATTTTTTTTTTCAATGAAAAGAACGAGCTATAATATGATATTTCTATTAGATAGGAAGTTTTGCTAGACGCCATCAAATATTACCTGATTCTGAAGTTTCGCCTTGTGTGTGCGACTCCGAAAGGGAAGGCTGGTCAGTCGATGAGGACGACTTGTGGTCGTCCATTGGCTGTGGATGTGCGCTGACGGCTGAAGATCCATGCCGATGGCGTAACAAATCAATCAAGCAAACTCGTTTCTCTCTATGGGAATCATAACGGGAATGCGTGCGATGGGTGCACTATTAACACCGGCGTCACTCCGTGGTGCAAAAAGCGCTTCTATTGGGTAGGAACATAATATCATAGCGCTTATACAAATTTCAAAGCAAAAAATAAAAACAACATAGGACTGATCAGGATGCTCTCGTAGTCATATTACGCCAGGATTTATCGGAATTTTGGAAATGAAAAGAGAAGGTTATGCTCCCTGTTCAATTACACTAATGTTCCTTAACCCATAACGGACGGCGTGCGCCACATGGTGGCGCACGACGATTATTTCTTTTGTTTTTGGAATGTTTCTAGCAATCTTAATATACCCATATATACTCTCAGCAATGTGGAATAACATATCTTCCCAGGACCTGGACGGCTGGATTTTTGACAAACCTACAATAAATTTTACACTTTGTCTTTATTTTACATAAGTTTACTATTTGATGGGTGGCTTACCCATGGTTCACACGTCCCGAGACCCCTTCCCCTAAATATAGCCACATCCTTGCTCGGGGTTGTTGTTTCGCATTTTTCGATGATCACCTACAGCTTCCATTCATTCTTTGCACCCTAGTTTTAGAGCGGAAAGGCGGGTTACGAAGTTGTCGTCAACGGAAATCTCTTCTTTTGGATGATGAGACAGGACACCTACTTTAGCCCCGTCTTAACCCTGCTGTTCGCATAAGCCTACATAAACCCTACCCTGTGTGGCGGCGTGCGCCACATGGTGGCGCACGCAACAAATACACTGGCCGTCCGTTATGGGTTAATTTGTACGAATAAATGTGGTACAGATTTAAGGGGGAAAGGTGGAGTCGATGTAATATTCCATGAGGACGATGGATCCCTAAAAACTCTCGTATTGGCAGCTTTTTTCTACATGACGATTCTGTTGCCTGGACTTTCTAACTTCTAAGCGCTATATCTGAATTCATTTATTGAAGAAGATGACATTCAATGTAAAATGGAGCGGAAAATGTACTTTAGAATGAAATGTACCGTTTTCCAGGTTATACCTGCATTGATTGAATTTACACTCTCGAAAAAAGAAGTGGTACGATATGAAGTTCCCACCCAAAACGACAAGCTGGGATTGAGTCATCGTATTGTGAAGAAACCTTTGCTATAGCTTCATCAATATAAACAACTAATCAAAATGAGGATAAATCACGAAGCCCTCCAGGATTTTTTTTTCCGTGTTTCTATTTATTTATTTGTTAATGTGTTTGAATTCACCAAAGAATGCGCCGCGTCGTGTAATTTCAGGCAACAAAGCAGAATGAAAATGACTCTGTTCTAAACGAAAATCTAAGCATAAGAAGAAGCAAAACAAAGCAGATAGGCCATGAAGGTTTGGCTGGCGGCAGTACGTGGAGATCGTTTTCACCGTTGAGACCATAGATGGCAAAGATCCTAGCCGATTTCTTGGTCCATGGTTCAGAGCACAAAAGAGAATGCAGTGCTAGGACTTGCTGACAACAACCCTGGATAAATGAGTTTGTATCAAGAGAATCAAAGCAGCCCGGGTTGCTCCATTTCTGAGCGATTAACTAGCCCTATAGATTTGAGGTTCAGCCAATTTTGCCATTGGATTACCTCAAAAGCATATTCCATAATTGGCCGCTGGAATTTCGTATTCTTGATTAATTTATACTGGGCCACAAGCGCGAAGGCGGTG